AAAGTTGACATCAGAACATGTGAGCACTCTAACATCATTCATCTTTAACAAGACTACTCTGGCTATTCTAGTTCCTTGAAATTGCCTGTGAACTTTAGGATGGCTATCTTTACTTTTATCAAAGAGTAAGGCTTTGATAAAGATTGCTTTGTATCTAGATTACTAAGGGGTCCAGTGTCTTCCAATACACGAACACAATATATCTGGACATTTATTAAGTCTTCTGAAACGTCCAGTAGTAAAATTGTGTAGTGTTCATCATCATCCCGGGAGAGTATGCAGCTAGGAAAGGGCCAGGGGCTATGGAGGCTTATTTTCTCTAGAAAGGGAATAGATGGACTAAATATGTTTGTTCCCTCTTTCAGCCATTCTGCTGCCTTTTTGATAAAAAATTAAGAAGTACTGATTTTGCACCAGGCATTACTGGGGACATCCCAGCAAGGAATGCAGGAGACATCTGTAACGACACCTGTGCTGAGGTACCTTGTATGTGGGACTTCATACCAAGTGCTGAGGGAAATAAAATGTCAGTGTTTATTCAAAGAAGGCCAATCAACTTGGAGGTCAAACATACAAGCCATAGTACAATGGTGATACATACATGCCTAGGTGAGGTTTGCAGAGACCCAAAGTGTACAGTGTGCATGATGGGCATGGAGCTGACAGGTCCAGGGGAGAATTAGCAGGAATGCTGTGGGACCGAGCACACACAGCAGTTTGTCACAGAACTGTATGGAGTGGTTATGGGATGGGCAACAGGGTAAGTTCTTAGGAGAGGAGACACACATAAAAGAAAATGAAGCATGGTGAAGCATGGTGGCTGTGGTGGCACACACCTTTAATCCCAGCACATGGGAGGCAGAGGCAAGTGGATCTCTGTGAGTTCCAGGACAGCCAGGGATACATAGAGAGACTTTGTCTCAAAAACAACAACAACAACAACAACAACAAAAAGAGGCATGAATCCAGAAGAACCAGGAGGCATGCTGCAGCAAGGGAAGTGCAGCTTGGGTGAGAGGCCACATCTGGCCAAACACTGTGTGATGCTAAGGTTGAAATATTACCCTGAAGGCCAAGGCAGAGTGACAAGCCTCTGACAGCGACATGTTTGGAGTCTCATCTCACAAAGATAGTTACGATTCCAGAAAGAAAAAAAAGAGCTAGGAAAGTAATACAGGGATCAGGAGTGGGACACATGACCCCAGCCAAAGTCCAGGCAAAGACCAATGTGAGCTTGATCTAGCAGAAGAGGGTAGAGGGACCATGCTGTGGATATCACTCTATGTAAATAAAACACTGATGGCCAGTGACCAGGCAGGAAGTATAGGCGGGACAAAGAGAGAGGAGAATTGGGGAAACAGGAAGAAGGAAGAGAGACACTGCAGCCACCGCCATGACCAGCAGCATGTGAAGACGCCAGTAAGCCACCAGCCACGTGGCAAGGTATAGATTTATAAAAATGGGTTAATTTAAGACAAAAGAACAGTTAGCAGAAAGCCTGCCACGGCCATACAGTTTATAAGTGATATAAGCGTCTGAGTGATTATTTTATAAGTGGATTGTGGGACTGCGGGGCTTGGGGAACCTGGAGAGAAGCCCTCCAGCTACAGGACCACTTTGAGGGGCAGGAAGTAACTAGCCTTCTTTAATAGATATGAAGAAGAGGGGAGGAGAAATGCTGCTTCCTACCACCCTAGAAATCTGTGATCACAGAAACCCCAAGAAAAACAATGCATGGGATTATGGTGAGCATCTCACTAGAGGTAAGTTATTGCTCTAATCTTGGGTACCTGCATGGAGGCTATGTCAGGCACCTAAGGGATATGCAGGTACAGCAGTCCCTTGGTATCTGCAGGGGATTTGTTCCAGGACCCACTACAGATACCCAAATGCACCAGTGCTCCAATCCCTTACACGAATTCAAACAGCAGCAGCAGTGGGCTGGAGAGATGGCTGAGTCAGCAAAGTGCTTTCTGAACAAGCCTAAGGACGCACATCTGATGCTCAGCACCCACCGAAAAATCCAGGTGTGATGATCCATGACTGTAGTCTCAGCTTTGGAGGAGATAGAAACAGGAGGATCTCTGGGCTCAGTGGCCAGCTAGCCTAGCATAACGAGCAAGCCCTGGGTCCTGGTGAGAGCTCCTACTCAAAAAATTAGAAGAGATGACACCCAAGGTTGACCTCTGGCCTCCATGTGAATGCATATCTACACACACATGCACCCATACCCACAGGAATATATACATACAAAAAAGTAAATAAAGTGTTTATACTTAGCCTATGTACAGTTTCCTGAGCACATAAAATCATCTAAAGAGTCCTTACAATACCTAATGGAATAATTGTTCTGTTGCATCATTTAGGGAGTAATGACAAGCAGTCTGTACATATCCTTTTTAACATGTTCAGTCCAACATCATCATTCGAATCCTTGGACACAGAATCTTCATATACAGAAAGTCAGCTGTATCTAGACCCCTGGGGTCTTGAAAAGGAATACTAGGTATTTGGTACTGTTAGGCCAAGAAGTCTCATGTGTGGCTTTCCTTGTGATAGCCTGCATTTTGCTCAGCCTCTGTGTTTCTAGCATATATAAAGGACTGTTTTCATTCCCCTAGTCCTGAGCTTCCTGGGGCTGACTGACAGTCATGCACATGAAGCCAAATTTAAGCCCCTTCACTGTGCTAACCCACGCTCCTCCAAAAGGCTTGTCTATGCACGCTCTGAGCAGACAAGAGGCTGTTTGATTTGGCTTAACATGTGAGCATACACAAAAATGCTGATGGAATAAAACACACAACATCATATGACAGGCTTCAGGCCAGAGGTTTTTGGGTCAGTTAGGGAGCTGAGCAGAAGAGAAAGAAAAAATTGGCGTTCTTTCCCTTTTAGGGGAGACAACAGTGTTGGGGTACTTTATATGCCTGACATTCATGTAGTCACCATGCAACAGTTATTAGAAGGGGAAAAGTGCCCAGCTAGAGAAAATGCACTAATAACTTTTCCCATGCAGTGCATAAAACTATGCTGAGTGGTTTCTTGTTTTTATTTTTGTTTTTTTATTTTACTTGGTTTGGCTTTTCAAGACAGGGTTTCTCTGTGTAACAGCCCTGGCTGTCCCAGAACTCACTCTGTAGACCAGATTCACAGAGATCCACCTGGCTCTGGCTCCTGAGCACTGGGATTAAAGGCATGTGCCTCCATGGTCACGACCACCACCACTTCCTGGCTTGTTTTTTGTCTTATTTTGATGTTATTTATTTTTATTTTATGTGATGAGTGTTTGCCTGCATGCAAGCATGCTTCCATGTGCTCCCTGTGAGTACCTGGTGCACATGAAGGCTAGAAGGTGCTAGAGCTCCTCAGCTGAAATTGTAGACAGTTGTAAGCCACTGTGCATGCTGGGAACTGAACCTGAATCCTGTGTAAGAGTAGCCAGTGCTCTTAACTGCTGAGCCAATTTGCCAGCCACCTATGTTGAGTTTTAAAATATACGTTTTTCTCTTCCAGTCCTTTAAAAAGCAATGACTATTAATAATTTGGAATTTTATTGCCACTGTCACCTAGCCAACATTTTTCCCAATAGTTCCATACTATGCTAGGTGTGGATGCACATGCCTTTAGTCCCATGATTCGAGAGGCAGAGCCAGGCAGATTTTTGTGAGTTCCAGGCCAGCCTGGTCTACAAAGTGAGTTCCAAAACCTCCAAGACTACACAGAGAAACTCTGTCTTTAAAAATGAGAGAGAGAGAGAGAGAGAGAGAGAGAGAGAGAGAGAGAGAGAGAGAATACTAACATGTGTTAACCTACATGCACTCCATCTCACTATCTATTTAACAGACTCTGACTTTACTAACAAGCAAACTTAGATAAAAAACCAAAAAATTATATATTAGATCTCTAAATCCAGTCTACTGATGGGAAGATCTTTCAGAACTTATATATAGGCTAATTGGTTCTTTGAAAAAAGAAGACATATGTACATATTTCCACTTCCTGCCAAGGCCTCCAGAGCCCTACTAGGTATCATCAGCAGATGGCTGTGCTTCGGCATTACCTCCTCTGGTGCTCTCCATAACTAAGGGGCATGTACTGTTGCTAACCTATGAGAGGGACGAAATTGAGGCACAGGGAATTGTTGCACAGGGTCATGCAGCTTCAGTGGGAAACTGGAATCTGAGCTTGGAAAGGTAGAATTCTAGCCTCCTCCGCCCCCTGCTGTGTTGAGGATGAAGCTCAGAGCTTCTCACTTACCAGGCAAAAGCTCTACCACTGAGCTACACCCCCAGCCCCTATTATGGTTCTTTAATCATTTTGTGGGCAACTCAGAGGGATAGCAGGACCTGGGAGCCACATAGTCCTCAGGAATGCTTCCATTAGTGGCATTTGTACCATAAACCTGCCTTCTACCTGGCTGCACCTTGACCTATGGAATTCTCAAATGTAGTTGGGGGCAGGGAGAGAAAGACGTGGTCAATGAGAGCAAGCAATGCAATTAATTAAATGATGAACAGACACACAGGACATCTTCCAGGAGCAAATAAAAAAATTTGCTTGTTGACTCTGCCACTGGTTTTGTCTTGGATCGTATCTGTTCTCTTAATATACCTAGACTTTTTTCTTATAAAAGCTGCATAGACAAGCCCTTGCCTAAACCTCTAGTCAAAAAGGCAAATGAGGCTGAACAGTGAGAGGTGAGAGAATCTTGTTAGCCCAGGCTCGGCTCAAAGTCTGGATCCTGCTCCTGGCTCCCAAGTGCGGAGATTAAAAGGTGACTTACGAGCAGGTACTACAATGCCACTCCCAGCTAAGACTCTGTTTTTGGAAGGTAATTAGAGGTGTCCTGGCTGGGGGAAAAAGGGCACAAGCTATTAAAAAAAAAAAAACATGAATTGCTACAATCATCAAAATAATTTATTATGTCACTATCAGCATTGTTTAAACAAAGTAGAATACAATAAAAGTAAACCATTTTATGAATTATTTTAACTGCAAATTATATACAATAATGTGCATACTGGCTCACATTGACAATGTATTTCTGGTATGGCATATCATCAAAAAATATTTTAAATGCATTATTCTTTAAAAAGAAATTAAATCCAAAAAAAAAAAAACCCAAATTACATCTCCTTAAATCCGGGACACTTGAGGTCCTTTCAGCTGAGCAATGTTCTTCATTGTCTCTCCATACAAATCACACAAAACATTTGTAGAACACAGGAGAATCTGCCAGATAAAATGTTTTCAGGTATTAAACATTAATGTTAATATTAAAGGGGGCAGCAATGTTTCATGGTGCCACCTTTACTAATTGAGACATTAATCTGGTCTGGCAAGATGGTTCGGTGTGTAAGGGTGACTCCTGCCAAGGCTGATGGCCAAAATTTAATCCTAGGGACACAAAAAATGGATAGAGAACACAACTGACTCCTGCAAGTTGTCCTCTGACCTCCACATGTGGGCACACACTCATACACACAGACAAAAATAAATTAATGAGATTGTAATAAAAAGAAACATTAATCTATAATGTTCTAAAGGACTGGGAGGTAGTCCAGGACAGGTATCTGGAACAGAACATTCCAGACAACTCCTTTCTCTTAATCCCTTCCAGACTTTGATTCCTTCACCACAGTGTCCCTGAGCAGTCCATCCTTCCAGAAATCCAGTTTTCAGTCACATCTCTCACGTCCTGCAAGCCTCCACAAACCCTTCTGGCCACCACACAAGAGACTGTCCAGACAGTTCTTAGCACATTTGTTCTTCCTTCAGCTGGACCTGGATCCTCTGGCTTGTAGCCTGTACGTGGCATCATGGTGAACATCCGTCCCCTTCCAGAAGGACCACAGTTAGCACAGTTTCCGTCCACCCCTGGAGATTGCATGATGTCAGTGCTTATCCTCAGCCTCATTTCTGGAGAGTGGGATAGATATTCTAAAACTAAAAACAATGAATGCTCCTTGAAGACCAGCACCTCCCCGAGTCAGCAGGGTGGCAGAGTTAGAGTTTGCAGCGCACCATCCGAATAACTAATCAGTCTAATGAACTAACCAGGCTTCTCTGAAAGCACTTTTCATTTAAAGTTGCTGTCACTGGGATGCACCGCCCACTTCGGCAGGTACTTTTCCCCAGCCCATTACCACCACCTGTTGGTGCTTGGAGGCAACTGAATGAGCAGTATGTCACACGCACACGCTTGATTCCATTTCCAACAAGCTTTTGGCCGGTGGAAAATGACCACAAAGAAAGCCCACATGGAGAATCTGGTGCCTGGTAAGTGCTTCTGGAAAACATGTCCTGGATCAGTCTTCTCACTTTTTCTCAAAGCTGATGTACGGGATTGAAGCATCATCTCATGAGTGTTTGTGCTAAAAACAGACAGAAGTACTTCCCTCACCCTAAAAGGGCCATACTGAGGTGAACCGGCCACTTTCCCAGAAAACCATCCCAGGCCCATCTTCCTGAGCACTGTGTTTCAGCAGAATGCTGGTTTATGAGGCAGCTATTTCCCTGCCTTTGTCAGATTCCATGGCTGGTACTGCTCCAGAAAAGTCACAGCCCACTTATCCTCAGTTTGGAAAAATTTCAGAGTTGATTATTTGTCTCAGATAGGTAATTTTTAATGAAAAATGGGAGATTAACTCTTTCAGTTAGCTATCGCTATGTAACAGACCACCCCAAGATATAGCAGCATAAACCAATTTATTAGTAAAATAAAGTAAATGACTAGCTGGGAAATGCATTATTTCCCACCATTCTGAGGATTGGCTGGGTGGCTCTCCCCTTCAGGCCGTACCTGCTTGGCCACTCAGGTGCTTAGCAAAGTTGTCCCCGGATTCCACTCTGTGGGCTCTCCACATGCTGCTGCACTCTCCAAGGCCAATAAACATGGCTTACACATCAGAACAGCCTGGGTTTCCTTAAAACGTGGCAGCCGCATTCTAGGAGAACAAAAGCAGAAACCTGGAGCCAAGTGTGGTGGCTCACACCTCTAAATTCTAGTACTCTGGAGTCTGAGGCAAGAAAATTAGAGGTTCAAAGCCAGCCTGGGGAAAGGAGGGAGGGAGAGGGAGAGGGAGAGGGAGAGGGAGAGAGATTCTTTTTTCTTGTCTCTTTGGAAACAACATTCCAATATATTGTAATACTTAGGGTATAGATATTAATGACATTGGTTTTGATTATAAATGCATTGCCTTTTTATTCTATAAGATCAGTGACTACCCTAACTGTCATCATAGAGCCATCATCCAGTAACTAATGGAAGCAGATGCAGAGATCCACAGCCAAGCACCAGGCTGAGCTCCAGGAGTCCAGTCAAAGAGAGAGAAGAGGGATTCTATGAACAGGGGGCATCAAGATCATGATGGGGAAACCTACAGAGACAACCAAACCAAATTAGTAGGAACTCATGAACTTTAGACCCATAGCTGTGGAGCCTCCATGGGACTGGAGTAGGCACTCTGTATAATTGAGAGAATTGTGTAGTTTGATTTGCTTAAGGGGCCCCCTAGCAATAGGATCAGGTGCATGAGTGGGCTTTTTGGAGCCTACTACCTGTGATGTGACACTTTGTATGGTCTTGATGCAGGGGGAGGGGCTTGGACCTACCTCAACTGAATATACCAGACTCTACTGACTCCCCATGGGAGGCTATTCCTTGTTGGAGGAGGGAATGGAGGGGGTTGGGGGTAAAGGCTGAGGGGCAGGAGGAGGGGAGAGAGGGGGATCTGTGGTTGGTATGTAAAATGAATTTTAAAAAATCTGTAATAATAAAAGAAGAGAAAAAAGTCAAATTGGTCCAATTTCTCTCTGTGCCAATGCCACTCACAGAGACAATGATGAGAATTTGGAGTGGAGTGGTGGGATCCTGAACAGCTAAAGGTAACAGTCTTTCAGAGGCCATAGCTTTTTTAGGGGCTACTGTCACTCAGACCTCCTAGGTCTGGTTCATTCATTCCGATACTTCCCTTTTGGGGGTGGAGGGAAATGATTCTTTATTAATTGGGGAGGAACAAAGACAACCTTAGAAATTTTATTTCCATGCAAATGTCTTTCACCCTCGGTCACTGGGTTGTCCAGCCTGCAGTAGGGGTTCCAGTTAGGGATCACTGTCTGGCTCTCATTTATGCACACACATCACTGCTTTCACCTCGAGGGTGAAAACACAATGCTTTCTGTTTCCACGGTCCTGTGTTCCCACTCTTAGCCCCTTGCTCTTCTTTTTGACTCATTTGTGTGGCACTGATTTGTGCAATGGCCGGAGCTCATTTTTACCCAATTTCCTGGAAGCTCAAGGGACGGTTCTGTCCTAGAAACCTGTGTCCATAAATCTTGGAACGCTTTTGAATTTTTCTGATCCATCATTTCTCCTCTTTTGTGCTCCCCACTGCTGGAACTTGTTGTTCAGGCAGGGCATTTCCCGGCCTGGCCTCTAACTTTCCTCTCTCTCTTCTCCAGATTTCCATCCCTTTTTCCTCCTGGTCCACATTCTCTTGACCCTTTGTTTCACGCTTCTCTTTGATACTATACCGTTTTGATTTCTGAGTTCATTTTTATGCTCCGAGTGCTCTTTTCTAAATAACATTTTGTTTTTTAAAATTATTTCAGTGGATATTTCTTAATTCCCAAAGCACTAATAGTATCCTCTTAGAAGTTTTCCTCTTCATGACTAGTCCATGCTTCCTCTATTTGATTAATTTAATCTCTGTGTTTTAATCAAAGTGAATTATTTGAGTCTCATTCTTCATTTGAACCAAAAAATCACAGAAAATAATTTCGATATTGCAACCCTCTTCCCCCAACCCCCAAATACTATCTAATAATGTGATCTCACATGTCTCTGGATGTCTTAGGCTAACTTCTCTGATGGACATCCTGATTGATTACTCCTGAGACCACTGTAGCTGGCTGACTAATACACTCCTCAATCCCTATATCTATAGACAACACAAGGAACTTTTCAGACCTTGACCTTTCAGGATCTTGAGATGAGATTATCCTGGGTTGTCTGAGTAAATCTTAAGTGTAGCCATAAAGGCTCCACCTATAAGAAGACAAGGTCAAAAGACAAGCCAGCCATGTGATGACAGGAGCAGAAACTGGTGTGTGTGGTGGTATTATGTTCCCCAAAATATTGTGCATCCTAATTAACTTATCTGGGGTCAGAGACAGAACAGCCACTAGATACAAAGGCCAGAATGGCGGTACTCACATCTTTAATCCTAACATTCCAGAGGTAGCAATCCCTCTGGATCTCTGTGAGTTCAAGGCCACATTGGAAACGGCCAGGCATGGTGACACATGCCTTTAATCCCAGAAAGCGAGCCTTTAATTCCAGGGAGTGGTGGTAGAAGGCAGAAAGATATATAAGGTGTGAGGACCAGGAACTAGAAACATTTGGCCTGGTTAAGCATTTGGCCTGGTTAAGCATTTAGGTTTTGAGCAGCAATTCAGCTGAGACCCATTCTGGATGAGGACTCAGAGGCCTCTAGTCTGAGGAAACAAGACAAGCTGAGGATCCGGCGAGGCGAGGTAGCTGTGGCTTGTTCTGGTTCTCTGATCTTCCAGTTCACCCCAATACCTGGCTCAGGTTTGTTTTATTAATAAAGACTCTTTAAGATTCATGCTACAGGTGTGATGGCTTTTGAAGAAAGAAAATAGAGTTACAAGTTCCAGAATATACTCACCTCCAGAAGAGGAGGCAAGAAAACTTACGAATTAGAGCACCCAGAAGGAACTAACTTAACCAACACTTTGGCTTTGACTCATGATATTGTTCACCGACTTTCACCCCCCAGGACTCCAGGGGAATGAATATGTTTTGATTCAAGTCACCAAGTGTGTGACCATTTGTTATAGAAGCCATGGAGGAACTAAGACTGGCAGTAGCTCTTAGTTGTCTGTTGCATCCCGTTGCGAGGAACTCCAGGCTGGTGGGATGCTCTGAGTGCAAGGATGCTAGGCACCTGCAGGTCCCACTGTAGAACCATCGGGATAGGCCACTTGGATGGAGAGCCACTGAGATCAACACCTGGAGATCTTTCTTTTAGAGTTACTCAGACTGCCCAAAGAATACTACTCTCCATATCTCCCAACTAGAAGGCAAAAAGTAGTTGTAGCATTCTTGGGGGTCAGGCAGGGACACAGATTAAGACATGTCACCATGCAGAGTGACTTTCCTCCTGTTTCATTAGGCAGCCCAGATGTTCTCCAGGAAGAATGCATCTCACTTATCATCTCCTACCAGTCTTTGTTGGATAAGGTAAACTGTGACCTGACCACACAAATGTGGGGCCCTGAGTGCTCATCAAAGACTCTCAATTAGCCTTTCTTCTCTGAGACTCTCCTCTCACCCCTAATTCCAGAGTTACTTGTGGTCAGGTTTCTCAGCCTGTAGATTTCCTGTGGTTTGTGGAGTTCACAGCACACGTGGACACATGCTTATTCACCTTTTATGAAAACTGAAGCTAGAGGAAGTCATATATTCTTGACTAGAGATAGAGTCTGATGTTTTGAATCTTGGCCTGAAACACTTAGATATATATCGATGTCCCCCAGACTTGAAATATCCCTTGAAGAACCAAGTCTGAAGCAGCGGAAACTGGAGGACGCTGAACTTCCCCAGAGATTAATTGAGGCTTGTGTCTTTTGCAGTTATAAACGAACCACAAATAAAAGAGGAGGAGGAAGAGATGAAAAGAGAGGGAATGAAGGGGAAAGAAGGGAGAGAAGAGAAGAAAGGGGAAAGAAAAGAAAAAGTGGAATTAATGAGGATTCCCCAAGTGAAAGGGCCACCATAAGAATTACTAATAAATTTTGAATTACTAACCAACTTTAATAACCGGGGCTTTCATTGCTTGCAGAATTATCCAGCTATTCAGAGTCTCCACAGAAGAACACACCCATGTTGACTTTCGCTTTCTAAGCTCTGAACCCACTGTCTGTGCTCCTCTTTGTGACCAGAGGCCTCCAACCAGACCAATGACTCTTTACAATGAACATTTGCAAGTAAAGCTATGTGGATAAAAGTGTTTGCTGTGTGGCCCACTGTGTCACACTACAGCTTCCATGATGAGAGATTGAGTTTCCCTTCTTTTTTCTGTCTCTTTTTTCTTTATCTTTTTTTCTTTTTCTCTTAAATTTTATTTTATTTTATTTTATTTTATTTTGTGGGGGAGGTTGCAAGCACAGAGGGTGGATACGAAGGAATGGGGAATTGAATGGGATGGAGATGCATGATATAAAAGACACAAAGAATAAATGAAATGAAAGTTTAAAAAAAAAAGTCTAAGGTTTGGACTGGGGAGATGGCTTGGTGTATAAAAGTGCTTCCTGTGCAAGTGTGAGGACCAAGTTCAAATCCTCAGAACCGTGTGAAAGCTGGATGTGCAACATCAGCATCTGTAATCCCAGCACTCCCATGGAAAGAAAGATAAGGGGCAGAGATGGAGAATCCCTTGGCTCTTCTGGGCCAGCTAGCTTAGTACACACAGTGAAAAAATAACAAAAATACCCTGTCTCAAATAAGGTGGAAGGTAAGGACCATACCCACTTGACATCCACAAGTGTACTATTGGAACATGCATACCCACATTTATAACCATGAATGTACACATATACACTGTACACACACACACACACACACACACACACACACACAAAGTTGAAGGGTTATGTAGCAAGACCCTGTCTCAAAACCAAACAAAACTCATCAAACCTTTTCCAGAACAGTGGCTCCACTTTGCATTCCTGTTGGGCATAAATGTTCTTGTCAACACTGTAGATGGTTTTTTTTTTTTTTTTTTTTTTTTTTTGTTTTTTTGTTTTTTTGTTTTTCGAGACAGGGTTTCTCTGTGTAGCTTTGCGCCTTTCCTGGAGCTCACTTGGTAGCCCAGGCTGGCCTCGAACTCACAGAGATCCGCCTGGCTCTGCCTCCCAAGTGCTGGGATTAAAGGCATGCGTCACCACCGCCCGGCTGTAGATGGTTTTTAACAACATAACCTCAATATCTGTTGGCTGTTAGATCTATCAGTTACTTCACTAATACTAATAGTTTAATAGTTACTCCCAATCTCATAGATGCAATAGTATTTAAGATATTTAAAGTTTTACTTTTTTATGACTCAAGGAGTTAAAAAGGAACTCTGTTTTAAACTGAAGAGGACTGAGAAATGTATTTTTGCTGGAAGTGTCTCATACTGTGGCTCCCTCACTGGGTACTTGAGGCCACCTATGGGTCATTCCTTAACCCTTCATTGAGGCATCTTCATTTCAATGAGGCCATTGATGGGAAAGAACAGGTATTATATTCACTCTCTTCTCATTAAGGAATGGGAGGCAGTCATTAATAAAAGAGCAACACTGATCATAGGTTGTAGGTGACTGGTGTTTTGCTCCTGCTTACAGCTCTTACTAGGATTCATCATTCAATTCAGGTTGTTCTAGCTCAATTTAAAACAATGTGAATGTCATCTGGTGCCCCGGATCTAGCCCACATGCTAAAGATCTTAACGTAAATAAGACCTAACCCTTGTTCCTAAGGAGACTTCAGTCTAGTGGAGACAGGGTGAGACAGAGACATAGAAAGAACATAGGGATTCACGAGGCTATGTGCCTGACCAGAGAAGAGAGGAAATTGTCTTAGTTAGATTTATCAATGTGAAATCCATACCACCCCCACCCCCACTACAATGGTTATCCTATACTAATAAAGCAGCAGGTCTTTGTTCTTAAGAGATAGACTAGAATAATTAGACACTAAGGCTTGATATAAAATGAATGCAGGGAGAAAGAGGAAGCAACTGAGAATGATGATAACAACTGGCCACCTGAAACAGCTGACCCATTTACAGGAGCAGATTGTACACATTCCTGTAGTATTTCCAGAGGCCATTTTCTAAAAAGCAGAAGGAGACACTAGAAGGGACATGCGACAAGGGAGGCCTAGACAGACATATTCCTGAATTAGTTTTTAATTGAGCTAGAACAAATTGAATTGAATGTGATGAAGTCTAGTAAAAAGCTGGCCTTGAGAGCGGGAACAAAATTCCAGCCATTGACAACCTATGGTCAGTGTTTCTCTTTCATTGTTTTCTGCTTCCCATTTCTTTAAATAGAGGAGAGGGATGGGATGCCCTATTATGACACGGGCACTGGGCTTCCTCAGGCACAGCTGGTGCCTGAGTTCTCTGACGATAGAGTGCACTGATCAAAATGTGCATTGCCCACTCCCCGCTTTCAGAGTAACTCTCTAGTGAGTACTAATGTGCGGAGACTTGTATGCCTTGCAGCTTCACTGCAGCCTTATCCTTTTAAAATTGTTATTGATTCTTTGTGGATTTCACATCATGCATTCTGGCCCCGCTTATCTTCCCATCTCCTCGAATCTGCCCTCTACCCTTGCCAACCTCCTCCACCAAATCAAAACCAAATTAAAAAAAAAAAAACAGAAACCAAACAAAACAAAGAAGCAAAACAAAAATAAAAATAACAAAAAAGAAGAATATTGCCCTGGAAGCTGTAGTGTGGCCCAACGAGATATACACTTTACCCTTCAGTCCATTCATGTTTAATACCAAAAAATGTGGAAATAACTTAATGTCCATCATTGAAACATGCTAAGTGAATGATGGTGCATTGCTGGACTACTGATCAAAAACACAGGCTCTTATGTAAACTCCCAAGGGATAAAAGCAACCAATAGTTGTTCCTAACCATAAAACCTATGAACCACAACAAAAACCATTATGGCAAGATCGTGCAAAAGTGGCATTTATATCTTGGAGACAACCAATAGCTCTGTAATTGGACTCAATAATAGAGAAATTATGCCACTTTGGAAATCAGTATGGCTGTTTCTCAGAAAATTAGAAATCAATCTACCTCAAGACCCAATGATACCACTCTTGGGCATTCACCCAAGGGATGCTCTATCATACCATAAGGACACTTGCTCAACTATGTTCACAGCAGCATTATTTGTAATAGCCAGAAACTGGAAACAACCTAGATGTCCCTCAACCAAAGAATGAATAAAGAAAATGTGGCACATATACACAATGGAGTACTACTCAGCAGTAAAAAACAATGACATCATGAGGTTTGCAGGCAAATTGATGGAACTAGAAAATATCATCCTGAGTGTGGTAGGTAGAAAGAAAAACATGGTATGTACTCACTCATAAGTGGATACTGGATGTAAGGCAAAGGATAATCAGACTACAACCCACAGCTCCAGAGAAGCTAGGAAACAAGGAGAACCCTAAGAGAGATGCATGAATCACCTTGGAAAGGGGAAACAGAGGAGATTACAATAAGTAAACTGGGTGTGAGGTAAAGGGCAATATAGGGGAGGGGATGGGGGATGAGAACATGAGGGACCGGGATAGTCGAGCTGGGGGAGGAACAGAGTGGGAGAGCAATGAAAGAGATGTCTCCATAGAGGGGACATTATGGGGTAAGGGAGAAACCTGGAGATAGGGAAATTTCTAGGAACACATAAAGACAACCCCAGACTCGACTACTAGCAATAGCTGTGAGGGTGCCTAAACTGAGCTACCCTGGTAATCAGATTGGTGAATACCCTGTCATCATAGAGCCTTCATCCAGTAACTGATGGAAGCAGATGCAGAGATCCACAGCCAAGCATCACAGCCAAGCTCCAGGAGTCCAGTCAAAGAGATGGAAGAGGGAGCATATGAGCAAGGTGGGTCAAGATCATGATGGGGAAATCTACAGAGACAACTGAACCAAGATAAAAGGAACTCACAAACTTTAGACCAACAGCTATGGAACCTGCATGGGACCGGACTAGACCCTCTGCATATGGAAAACAGTTGTGTAGCTGGATATGTTTGGCAGGGGGGCCTGGCAGTGTGATCTGGATGCATGAGCTGGCTTTCTGGATCCCATTACCTATGGTCAGACACTTGTTCACCCTTGATGCAATGGGTAGGGGCTTGGTCCTGCCTCAACCAAATGTACCATGTTTAGATGTCCTCCCTGCAATGGGAGAACTTACCCTGTTGGGAGAGGGGATGAGGAGTGAGGGAGAGGTGGAGAGTGGGAGGAGGGATGAGAGGGGAATCTGTGGTTGGTATGTAAAATGAATTTTAAATTTTTTTAAAAAACAAGAGAGAAATCATGTCTGATACTGTAAACTTGGCCAACTACCCATGGCCTATAAGGTCATGAACTCTAGAGGAGAATCTACTACTGCCACTTTTCCAAACCATAATATAATTTATAGTAAATTATATCATATGTAATAGTATAATATCTATCTGCGCTATAATTACTTATCCTTATAACCACAGGTAAGTGCAGCTTTCACCCTTCATCAAAGAAGCTTCTTTTTACAGAGACCATAACAGAAACCCACAACTGGTCAAAATGTAGACTGTGGGGTGTTCAAACCCAACAAGTACATCTACAATACAGCTGCCACACCTATAGCTCAGGGAACATTGTGGAAAAGGGGGTAGAAACATTTTAAGAGTCAGAAAATCAAAAGGTCTGCTGTGAGATCCTGTCTTCTTTTTATGAAAGGGAAGCTGAACAATATTAAAACTGTGGCCACCTAAACAAGACTCCACAATAACACCACAGCAACACCAGCTGACATGCCAACATGGATGGTGGGAATCTCACAAGCCTCTGTTCCTAGATTATATTTATAGATGTTAATGGAGAGAGAGAGAGAGACAGAGAGAGACAGAGAGAGAGAGAGAATTTGTGTTCTCCAGGGGCAGTCTTCTTGATGGTTATCAAATCCCAAATGGTTAATTCCAAACAAATACACACATGAGCAATGCTAATGGGCTAAGAAGGCTGTAGTTATATATGTGCGCACCATCGTGTGTGTGTGTGTGTGTGTGTGTGTGTGTGTGTGTGTGTGTAAAACAGTAATTAAAGAAGGAGTCATGAATCTGAGAGGGAGTTGGAGGCCCACAAGGAGGAGTTGAAGTAGAGAGAGGGAGGGATGTCAGTGATATAAACATAGTACTCATGTGTGACAGTCTAAAAAAAAGTGTATAAAAAGAGAGCACAGGCGCTGAGAACAGTGCTGGTTAATATCCTGTGCTCCAGTCTCACCGTCGCTGTGAAGGGCATAATAAACACCTCTGCTTGGGAGCATTGTTGTTAGACTGCAGAAGATCAGTTATTCCAAGCATTCAATACAGTGCCCAGCACATAGCAGAAGCCAAGTGGCTAGTCAATACTGTTAGCTATTAATTACACAATAGATTTTTAAAAACAACAATGCTGGCTTAATTCTTATTGACCTGGAATGTTCTATCTTGCACTGCGCTAAGTGACAAAACACTACCCAAGGGGATGGAAGATCTGACTACACTTAAATAAAAGTATGTTTTGAATTTCCACTTAAGTATATTTGTGGCGAGATGTCTGGAAAGCTGATTAAGTGCAAGTGGGAAGGGACTAGGGTATTCACGACTCCAATCTTCCTTTGCTCTCTAAACCTCTCTGTACTATTTGGTTTTCTTTTTTCACAGCATGTGTAACACTTTCACAACTATCTTTATATAATTTTATAAAATAAATAAATCCCCAGGCCATAGATCTTCCATGTTCTGGTTTGGCTATGTCTGAGGGTTGACCAGATGTCCTGCTAGATGAAGAGCTACAGGCCTCTTCTGTCTATTTCTTTCCATATAAACTGACATTCAAGTTCTTATCTCTTTACCTTGGCCTGGGTGTTCTTCACCTGGCTGTCTTCCAGAAGCACAGTAAGCACATGGTACATATGTGTCTGGCTGTTTGTTCTCACTGTGGAACTGTTTTTCCAGTGTTTCTGCTCATTTTTGCCCAGTCTATAGAGTCTGTGAGGCTTGGCTCGTGAATGACAATATACATGCAAAATACCCACTGGAGCATACCTTGGAAGGCACTTGGCCACTGTCTGGGTGATTCCTACAGGCATTCACACTGTCCTGCAGAAATCCAGCTTGCAGGCTCCTTCCCACCAGGGTCCTGAGCTTCTGCAGAGAGATGGTTTGCAGGAGTGCAGAGCACCAATCTGACCACAAGATGGCAGCCTTTCCCTTCATGAGTCTTGCTGCAGCCCTCATTCCCCAGCTCTGTGAGCTTCTGAATCCAGCTTCTGTCGCTCTCAGCCATTTCAGGAAAGAGATTCTTTACCAAAGAGACCTTCATCGGAGAGAACAGTAGGATTAAATGTTCGGAAACAGAAGAACTCGAAGAAGAGAATACAATTTCCCCAAACCACGTGCTCACCCAGCCTTCTTTCTCCTCAGGAGAAGTCACAACAGTCTTGTGTCCATTTGCAGCCGGGTTGAATTAGAATTGCCAAACATCCTAGGGGGCTGTGAATCCACATTCCTTTATCTCTTTGTGCCACTCAAAGCCAGATATTGATGTCTGGAAACAAGCTACATAAGCTTCATTATTGGAATGCCTTTTCCTTAAACAAGACTGCTTTAATACTTAACAAGGTAGGGGAGCTACATAATTTAAAATCTATGTGAACAGAAATAAGAAATTATTTGTGGTGGGCTCCACTTTTACACCCACCAACAAAGGCAGACATTCACCAGTTTTTGCCTTCCCAGGGCCCCAAAATACAACACAGGCCTGTTCTCCCGTTCCCAGCAGAGGCCGCAGCTGAAGCCGGTCTTTATCAGCTTTGCTTTCTCAATATTTACCAACCAATAAATCTTTTTTCCCCTAAGACAATTGACATTCGAATCCCATTCATGTGGAGGCTTGTTATCCAAATAATATTAAATAAACCGCTTCATGATCCACTGAAAAAGTATTAAGATGGTTTTTCTTCTTCTTTCTCTGCAGGTCAATATTGAAGAGAGAGGGGGCTGTTTCCATGTGAGGGAGGGCAGCTGCCTGCCTCAAAATCGTGTCTCCATCTCCAGCCTCCTGCACAGGTGTCTCCTTTCTGTTGCTCTTTGGGCTCCAACAGCCCCTGTCCTGTGGCATCCACTCAAAGCCAAGCTTATCTGTGTCTCTACTGTGGCCTCCATAGAACACGGGGTGTTTCCAGAGCCGTGTGTCACTCAAAGATCAGTTCTGGGAAATTTGTTGGTAGACCTGGTGTCCTTGTGAAAACATCACAGGCTGTTTGAGGTCTCAGTTCGTTTTCTCACTGCTGTGACTAAGTATTCAGCAAAAGCAACATAAAGAAAGTCTTATAGTCTGAGGGGACAATTCACTGAGGCAGGGGAGGCATGGCCACAAAAGCACGGTCAACTTGGGTTTGCAGCCAGGGAGCAGAAAGAAATGAATGCTGGTGCTCAGCTCACTTTCTCCTGATTCGGTCTGGAACCTCAGCCATGAAATGATGCCATCCACATCCAGAGTGGGTCTTCCCATCTCAGACAAACTTTTCTGAAAACACCATAACAGATACGCCCAAAGGTGTGGCTCTATACACCCGCAGGTTAACAATCAAGATTGGCCATGGGGATAGGGGAATAGCTCAGTTGGTAAAGTTGGTAAAGTGCTCTCCGCACAAGCATGAGGGGCAGAGTTCAGTGCCCAAGAGCCCAAATAAAAGGAGCTGTGTGCAGTGGCATAGATGGGTAATCCCAGCCCTGGGGAGACTAGGACAGGAGGAGGAACCCTGAACTTGCTGTCCAGCAGTCTAACCTAATGGGTGAGTACCAGGCTACCTAGAGAGCATTTCAAAAGGAAGATAGACAGCACTCCTGAGATTGATCTCCACAGGTGTGTGTGTGTGTGTGTGTGTGTGTGTGTGTGTGTGTGTGTGTACAGACAGGGACATACACACACACACACACACACACACTTTAAAAATGATTAGCACCATCGCAGTACATTTAAACAAATCTAAATGGTGTGGTTGATCCACCCTTGGTCTTCGTGGTGATGCTGTCATTTATACACTCACCCACTGACTAAAACGTCATAGAAAACACATTTTCTAACTGGAGCAAGTTAGTCTTTTGAAAGTGTGTCCAGTTCTGCTGTCCTGCAGGCCATCTCCACTTTCCCTCTTCTGCCAGAGGTGTGTGTGGTGTCTCTGAGAAGAGACAGAAGAGCAGACAGGGAATCAGAACTGGCTCTGCTGCCAGCGTCATGGTGCGACAAACCACATGACTCTCCTTTCTGAGCTTCAATTTCGCCATTTATACAACGAAATGTTTCTCTCCACACTTGTAGCTGTGCCTGTGACCTCCCTTACCAAGGGTCTGAAATAAGGAAGAGGCTCTAGTAGCACTGAAAATGCTAAGTCTGCTGTCAGAAACCACAAACACTAGCGATATCCTGATGGTGATTACCACCTCGGAGGCTGGGAAATCTTCTAGATGGGAGAGAACCAGAGGGTTTGCGATGTTGTTATAACATTCCCATGGTGATCCTTCTGTGTCAAGAGACACTTCCAGACTTTATTGGGCGAGTTCATTTCATCCTCACAGCATTCCATGTTGTGACACCCATGTTCCACTGGAGGGCGCTAAAGCACTGAGAAGTTGAATCATGTCCATTGGGGCACAGATGGAACGTGTGAAGGGTCTGAGGCCAAGTGGCTTGGTTCTGAAACTTGATCTCCTCTCACCTCCTAACAGGTGGTGGGGCCAAGGACCTGGCACAGCCTGATCCAGTGGTAAAGCAGACCTGTCACTTGTCACACTGGCTGTTGGAGAGCCTTGCCCTTAGCCTTGGCCTGTACCAGGTACCATCTCCCCTGCTCCTCCAGCTCCCCTAGACTTGGCTCTCACAGGCACAGCTGCGGGAGATGACCCACCCTGTAGCAAGAATCTTAAAGGTACTTATTAACAAAATCAAACCTGAGGCCAGTTATTGTGGTGAATGCTGGAAGATCAGAGAAGCAGAACAAGCCAGAGCTACCTCACCTCGCCAGTTCCTCAGCTGATCCTGTTTCCTCAGACTGGAAACCTCTGTGTCCTCATCCAGAATGAATCTCAGCTGAACTGCTGCTCCAAAGCCTGAAAGCTTAACCAGTTAAAAGCTTCTAGTTTCTGGTCTTCACACCTTATATACCTTTCTGCTTTCTGCCATCACTCCCTGGGATTAAAGGCTCACTTTCTGGGATTAAAGGCATGAGTCACCATGCTTGGCTGTATCCTTGAACACACAGAGACCCAGATAGATCTCTGCCTCTGGAATGCTAGGATTAAAGGCGTGTGCTACCACTGCCTATCCTCTATGTTTAATATTGTGGCTGTTCTGTTTTCTGACCCCAGATAAGTTTATTAGCCTGCACAATATTTCGGGGAACACAATACCACCACACCACCCTCAGTCTGAAAAGCTGAGGTATAAAATGCCCCCAAATCTTACAGCTTTTGAACACTGACATGTCACCATGAATAGAAAGCCTTCCTTCCCTCTGACCTCATGTAACAAGTCACCATCAAAATGAAGATGTACTAAGAACATTGCGTGGAGGGCCTCCAGCCTGTGTGTGTGAGGTAGAAAGGAAAGATAAATGAAGTTACTATTAGACTTGGGTCCTATCTCCAGAATTTCCTGTTATCTATGAACAAATTCCGAGATTTTTTTGAAATCCAAGATTCCAGTTCCAAGTATTTCAGAGAAAAAAAAAATCAGTTTCTATATAAGCAAGACATGTGTGATGCTTCCTCACTGGATATCAAAAACAAAATCAAAATTGCCAGCATTGCAGAAAAGGTTTAAAGGCCTCTTTGAATAAACCATTTTGTTTGCTCTCCCCCTACCCAGAGGAGCTACTGTCATTGGGGGCTTATTCTTAAGAATGATTTCTGTGTAGCCCTGGAGGCTGGGGCACCTGAGAACTGATCCTACCCCTCACAGGCTGCCTCAGCGGGAGAGCCCCCTCCCATCACCCTGGAACTAACCCCAATAGCATGTGTGTGCGTGGGAAAGCTGTCCCTGACATTTGAAAGCCCTCTGCATGGCACACCGAAGCTCCCAGGGCCACTAAGACAAATACAAATGTGATGGAGAGGTAGGAAAGACAGAGGAGAGGTTTTTTTTTCTTTTGTGGGGGCGCTACAGGGGTGGAGGGAGGACAGGGAAGGACTGGGAAATGAGTGGGATTGGGATGCATGATGTGAAATTCCCGAAGAACCAATTTTTTAAAAATTTATGGAAAAAAAGAAGAATATTTTCTGTGAATTATACACTCTTAGAAATCACATACAATTAAGGGTTGGGGAGAAAGCTCAGTTGATAGAGCGTTTGGTGCCAGATATGAGGACCTGAGTTCTCTCCTCAACACCCATGGGAAAAAAAAGAGAGACTGGAGAAAAGCTCAACAGTTAAGAAAGCTGGATGCTCTTCCAGAGGGTTCAAATCCCAGCAAGTCTGACATGGCTGCTCAAAACCACCTTTAACAACAGTTTCAGGGGAATCTTGTGCCCTCTACTGGACTCTTCAGGTACTGCATGCACATGATACAAATAGCAAAACACTCTTGGGCATAAAATGAAATAAGAAAGAAAGATATTTTTAAAAAGGAAAGCAAGCCAGCCAGCTAGCACAGCAGTGTGCACCTGTAATCCCAGCCCTGGGACATTGAAACAGGCAGATGGATCCCTGGAGCTTGCTGGCCAGTCCAGCAGAATTTCCAAGTTCTGGATTTAGTGAAAGACTGTGGTGATATTTTAGATATATCTCAGAAAAACCAAAGTGAAAAGTAATTAAGGAAGACACCCAGGGACAACCTCAGGCACACAGGCATGTGCACACGCACATGCACAAACACACACATACATACACACACACCTGGTAAAGGTGCTTTGTACATTGGTGAAGGGGGTTGTGTCTTCTAATAATGTTTCCATCCAGGATACACTGTTTCAAAATTGCTTTTCTCATTCAAGGATGTGTCAAAAACCTTTCCTGTTTCTACTCACAACCTGCCTCATTCTTTTAAAAATACTGTAGAGTATTCCATTGTATGGACAATATTGGTCTATTTTTCTGTTACCCTTTTATAGATATTTAGGTGTCTCTATTTAATATTATTCTAGATATTGCCACAATGGACTTCCTTTTACACAAGTAATTCCTTGTGAGTTACTGTATTGTAGATCTTGAATGTTCTCAAAGGCCCTTTCTAGGGCTGACTTAGTCTCCGGCCTGTGGTGTTATTGGGAGGTGGTGGAACCTATAGAAGGTGGGCAGGTCACTGGGGGAGGTGCCCTAAAAGGAGGTTCTGGGACCCTGGCCCTTCCTGTCTATATTACTTCCTGGCCACTATGAGATGCCAAGCCTCCTTTGTAGCCAGAAGATTTCCTGTGTCTCAGCCTGCTGGAGGCCAGGACAAATCTCTCCCACTCATGTCCCCCAAGTAAACACACAGAGGCTCATATTAATTATAACTGTGTGGCCATGGCTCCAGCTTTTTGCTAGCTAGCTCTTATATCTTAAATTAGCCCATAACTATTAATCTATGTTTTGTCACATGTTCCGTGGATTTACCTGCAACCCATTACATGTGGCTCCCTGGGCGGCTCGCTGGCACCTCTCCCCACCTTCTTCCTTTCCTCTCTCTGAATTTCCTGCCTGCCTCTAAGCTGCCTTGCCATAGGCCAAACAGCTTTATTTATCAACCAATCAGAGACACACAAATTCACAGTGTACAGAAAGACATTCCCCCATCACTCCTTCATTCAGCAGACACTCTCACCATGGTACCCCCAACACCACAACCCTCAAACTGCTGAGCATTCATCCTGAACTAAAACCTGCAAAACAGTGAGCCAAAATAAGAATTTCTTCCTTCTTCCTTCTAAGTAGATTATTTCAGATGTTTTGTCAAAGACAGAAAGATGGCCACTTTATATATGCGAACAAATATTTTCTTGGTGTAAATAAGAAGACAAACTGCTGAGTGTGTGCATCTTTTATCAAACCACTGCAAATACCATCTAAGACTTCCGCAAATGGTGGCGCAAAACGTGCAAGCATTTAAAACTGAAATGTCAGTGAGTCAGCAATGAGAGGCAACAGCAATAAGCAACCATGTGAGTGATTAAAGGGTCCGCACCACAGTGCATTTTCCTGCAGGGCCCACACCACAGTGCATTTTCCTGCAGAGCCCACACCTGGAAGCTTTTTCTGCATAAGACAGCCTGGTTCTTTTTCTTCTTGAGCAAGGGGTTCCACTTTTTTATGTCATTTTCCTATTTTTCAGGAAGTATTTCCAGCTTCCCCTTTCCACACTTATCTTCACAAAACAGTCCCTGTTCTCTAAACCTATGTGTCTTCAAAGTCCTGGTAGCCATGCTGAGCCACAAGGATGTATGTGAATAAAGAAAGCAAACTTTTAGAGCCCTCGATAGCAATTGGACAGGGACTTCAGATCTGTTAAAGCTAATTATAAAGTGGAGCTTGACTTTTAATGTCCATCTTATGCTTCCCTAGTAATTCGCTGTTACTGCATTTTGTGAAAATGCCCATCCATAGTGGACTGGAGATGTTTCTAAATATGTTTTCTAGTCAGGATGTGCTTTCTCTGTCTCTTAACATTTACTGACGACCAGACAGCAGCTCTATTTACAGTCAAATCATTTCATGATCTCTGTAGCCAGCAGGTTGGGGAGGATTGGCCCTTGCTAGGAGGGACTGTCCCCTCTGTGGGTTCAACAGGTCAACATACCTCATATAACAATAAGGACTCAATGACTAACCCCAAACAAGCCCAGGATAGTCACTGTACATTTTGGCCGACCACCCAGGTCTAGGAAACACATCCTTTTATGTCTAAGGACTGTGCTCATGCACCTGGCAGACAGCATCCTGCATTTGTGGGGAAGCGGGACAGCAAGTGACTTGTGGGACTGTATCTGTAGAAAGTCACATGCTCATGAAGAGGAAATTGGGGTGCTTCAAGCTTAGGCTCTTCAGAGAGCACAGTTTTTCAGAGGTTCACCTAGAAAGGCTTTGGCTGTCTAGATAAGATCTGCAAAAGTAGACAAATATTTATTTTATCTTTATTATTTGTTTGTTTTTAATGGCCTTAGGCATTAAACACAGGAACTCACCTCAGCCAATTTTTTTCCAGGCTTTATCTCAGTCCTTAAGAACAATCATAATTTGGGACATATTGGCACACCCCTTTAATCTCAGCACTTAAGAGGCAGAGGGAAGTGGATCTCTGTGAGTTCAATGCCAGCCTGATCTACATAGTGTGCTCCAGGATAGCCAGGGCTACGTAGTGAGACCCTGTCTCAAAACAAAAATATAGACTGCTGTGGTGGTCCATACCTGTATTCCTAACACTCAGGAGGCAGAGGCAAAAGGATCACAAATAATTGAAGGCCAGTTTGAGCTACTCAGTGAGACACTGTCTCAAAACAAAAATATAGACTGCTGTGGTGGTCCATACCTGTATTCCTAACACTCAGGAGGCAGAGGCAAAAGGATCACAAATAATTGAAGGCCAGTTTGAGCTACTCAGTGAGACACTGTCTCAAAAGAAAATATGACTGAACCGATAGCAAACCTCTGCAACATCAGTGACTTAGGCCAACAGCAACATATGTTTGGCTCCTGAATATGCCATTTGGGTGGAATGTGGGAGCCCATTCTCGGGTTCCTCGTGGCTTTACCCAGCAGGTCCAAATAGAGGATGATCAGGACCACGGGCCTGAGTGCAGGTGTCTGAGATGGTCTGCACTTGGCTGTGCTGGGGGAGGAGGTCTTTTGCTCCACCCCTTGGCATCTCTATAAAAACCTTGGGGCAGAGACAGTCGGGGCCTGTTGGAATAGGTTCCAGGCCCTCTCGAGGCTATCCTTTATTTTC